GACTACGCCGATGATATCGCTTTACTAGCGTCAAGCTTTGGTGTTATAGTTTGTAGTGTCACGGGTGAACGAGATCGCGATGCCAATTAGCTTTTCTATAAATATGGGGAAAACTAAATTATGCTCGAACTGCATCCGTCAACAGAAGGCACCCCCTGGGGCTTAATGGCCAACAAATTGAAGAAGGCAGCCTTAAATACCTCGGGGCGAGGCTGCTACCGAACGGACAGAGTAAGGACTACATTGTCACCCGAATCGATGCAGCTCGCTGAGTTTTCGCAGGCCTCAGAAAATACCTATGTATCTGACGCAACATGCTCATCGCCCCAAATAACTGCGTACACCGTGCATTCGTCCGGTATTTGACTTTAACTCCTTGAGAGAAGTACGCAAAATACGTCCCAGATTATACAGTTCGAGCTTCCTGCGACAACATCGCAAGGATATCCCAGAGTATCTAGGAAAGATGACGTTGTTCGTCGTCAATATCAAGAGCTTAGTGTTACTGCCCTTGATCCAGCACCCTCACCCACTTAGAGGTGTCGAAGAGGGGTCAGCTCTAACCTGGCTCAACACAGTTCGTATAAACACGGAAATAGTTCTTGTGCCTTCGGTTTCCGTCGTTAGCGAAGGGAATATGTCGAACTATCTAGATCTGCTGCCGCGGACAATCATACGGTTTGTAATGTCGTCGAGGGCGGCCATATCAGACAAGCTTGCAGCCGTAACATTCACAAGTGGGGGCCAAAGTAACCCATTCACTGCAGGCAAAGACAAGGCCAAATTAACAACGGGCTCAACGCCGTCTACCGAACTGTAGAGGTAAAACTTAAGCTGTCCATTTTCAGTACTGGTTGCGTGAGAAAATCGGTTTTAACTCATTGGATTGATTGTTACGTAGCACAGCACATGAGGGGACATTCTGAGGAATATAATCAAAGCTAAAAAATATCAAACCTGACAGGAGATCTGCATGTAAGATAATATAACCGGCTCTGCTCATTTGCAAAATAGATAATTGTTTACCGAAACACCCTAAACAATGTGCCGATTATACAAATGCAAAGTGCGTTACCAAGCCAGCGAGTAAAAAACTCATTGTGTTGAAAAATAAATTACCTCGAAATGAAGACCTCGGGATAGACGCGACTGGATTCCATTTGTTTTTCTCCATTTACTGGAAGATCACCATCAACGGGGAAAATTTTTATAACTGTGCCCTTGTGCGTCTGAAAGACTTCACCATACACACCTTCACCTATCTTGACAATGTTCTCTAATGTTCTGGATGGACAGGTCAATGATAATAACAGGACATACTCAGCATCAAAAAAGGAGGAGAATGACCGCGTCTCGGTTTGACCACAGAGTTCCAGAAGCTTTTCCTTGGGATCGCCGACGATCGATTGGCTCTGAAAACGTCACAAATTAAAATTTCCGTAGAATAGAGACAAAAAAAGGCTACCAGGGAAATAGTTATAAAATTACTGGTAAGACAGAAAAAAAGCAGAGCGACTCACCAAGAAGGATTCCTCGTGTACATAGGAAGTGCTCAAGTCCGAGTTTTCAACGACCTCCTCGACATCAAACTCGATTCGCCGGGCATTAACTCTCTTCAATTTCGCCGCCTGATCTTTATTTGGTGAGCGGAATCGTCTTGGGGAAAATATAGGTGTAAGCTCCACCTGCAGAGCCTTATCTTTTTCTAAGAAAGACTTATCGAACACATAATGGTTCTCTTCGTCTGAAGAGCCATTTGTTGGCACATTCTCCTTTGGAGACGACACAGCTGCAACACTCTTTAGATGGGTAAGGGGGCTGTAAGATCCATTGAAACTTCGTAGGCGCGCTCGAATGTTTGGGGTAGAGGGACTGTTTGCCGTCAAACTTGGGTTAATCTTCAGATTTTTTTCATGAATGCCATTTGACTTAAAGTAAGATCGAGTGCGCACTCGAGCCGCTGTGGTGGCTGCCGCGTCATGGACACGAATGTTTGAGTTGCGCAGACTGATTCGGTAGCGCTTAGGTCCCTCGGACATTTCGGAGAATCTCGTCCGCTTTCGGGTATGTGCGACATTGTTCTGCGACTCTTCGTTAAGTGTGCAAGACAACAGTCGTTTTCTTTTAGGGGGAGAATTTCGAGGACGTTGATCAATAGTCGCATGGGGCATTATCAACGTATGCTTAATAGACTGTAAAGAAACACGAATGACAGTACCTTTGGCAGACAATTATCAT